GATATGACGTTTGTCCACAAGTACCGTGGAGCTGCGCTTCCGAATGTACTACCGCTCATTCAAGAATACATTCATTCGCTTGAGACTTGGTGCGACAGGTAGATAGTGACGTTTTAAGCACAACAGTCAATCATATAACTCGGTCGCTGGACACGCAAAGTATCTATCACACGTAACAGCGAACGTATCTGTGTACAACGGTATACTCTTGACCTTGTACTTTTTTGCTCTTAGTACAGATTGAGTACTAGATAGCACGAGCCAATAATTCGCCAACATCTCCCATAACATACATACAATCACAGCTACAGTTGAACTATTTAAAATCCTTTATCGTCCCATCCTGGAGTATCGCAGCATAATCGGAGACAATATGAGGAAATCAGACAGAACATCGATAGAAAGCCTTCAACGGTCAGTTACTAAGCATGTATTGGGAAAACATTCCATCAACTCTCGGGAGCGACACTAGCAACTTCAGCTTCATCCGCTTTGGCTGCGAAGACTAAAAGATAACTGGAGACTGCTGCACAATCTGAGTCATGGCAATACCCATAGCAATCGATTCACCTTAACATTGAAGCGTAATTACACGCGAGACCCAGGTAACAGAGACCTTACCCTGATTATCCCACGATGCAAGACAAATTTGCGGTCTGACTTTCGTCTCAGCATAAATGCTTCTGTGTGGAATCGGTTGCCATTCACCATCAGGAAGCTATCTCTACCTGGACACCATTAGGTCGTTCTTTTCGTGGGGAAGATCATTTGAACATCCATTCAATGAAAGCCCAGATAACATCTAATTGGTGTAATATCACCAATTCACGCAATGTAATTAGTCCTCAGTGTACACAACATACTCAAACTACAAATTTGCCTCTACCATCGCAATGGACAAAGATATGGGGCAAATACCTTGCCAGAAATGCAGCTAAATATAAGAAGATAACTTGATATTTCTCTTTCAAGTGTCTGACATCACCTTTGCGTGTATCTTCTGTGGCAAATATTGTCACAGATTTCCACTTGCTGAGAAATACGCCCATTATTATTATTATTATTATTATTATTATTATTATTATTATTATTAACTTTATGCGGTATATTGTTTCGACTAGAGGCAATACTAAGCTGAAGCCTAAATGTGCCACTGGCACTGTGTACCTTGGACCGATCACATATTGTGCGACCAATACGTTACGGACTGCTCGGACAAGCGCTGGAAATTTCGTACAGGGACACTGGCTACCGGCCGGGTCAGAATACGAACCAATGGTAACACTTTCCGACAAAATATCTGTTAAAGGGGTGCTGAGGCAGGAAGTTCAAACACCTCATCCTAGGTTGACCAGCTACAATCAGGCGTGCTTTTGGTGACCTCTAGCACTGACACTCTCATCCCTGTCCGCCTTCCCTTAATACCAATGTGTCAACCTACTCGAGAGCATACCTGTCCCTCATAGCCGCATACATCTACCCCTATGCTTACATCCTGGTGGTCCCATTGGCTAATGTCCCATGACCAATGAGAGTGTCACTGATAGTGCTTGCATGTAACCCTCAGGGAGAGAATGGATTGATACCCGCGCGAACTTGAATGCACAACAAGTTATTTTGATTTTTTAACAAGCTAACTTAATAGCACTATTCGTGAAGTTGTCTGTAAAAAGGCATAGAAGACAAGCGACTATTCAAGCTAGGTGGGGGAGGGCCAAAAATTGAGGAATTGGAACGGGGGGATGAAAGGGAAGTTGGTACGGCGCGCTAGAGATGGAAAGGCGCAAGTGGAGGAATAAGAAGGCGGGAAGGCCTGAGCAGTAGCATCCAAACCCCTATCCATCCTGCTCGATGCGGCAGATAGGGCGCCGTTTCTTACCATCTGCGACGGCCAGAGCGTCAAGAGATTGTTAGAAGGAAAGGTCATGGTGTATTACGTGGGCAGGAGACGGACAGGTTGCCCAGGTCTAGACGGGAGAGCGATTAGAGTTCTCAACCAAAACATTTGGTTCAAATACCTAACAGCAAGGCAGCGGGGTTTTGGCACTGGACTACAGACAGCCCGTTTTATGGAGTAAGGAGCCACCCTCACTCCAAGCCCCCACCTGGAGTTCAAGGAGGCTGAGTTTATCTGGCCTCTGACCATTGATCAATCTGGTATGAGTGTCTCTGAAGGTGCAAAAAGTGCCACCCAGCATAGCTCAGTGGATCACTGAGGTACACAGACCATCGCTCCACGTTAAGGTCCAATCTCATCGCGATGGTACTTAAGGTCCCTTGTAATGATTATGTCATGGTAGCTCATAGCTCATCGTCTACCTATAAGCTTGTTCTGCTGTAGTCTCCTCAACTGAATTCGCGACGAACAGCCTCAGTAATCCGTATCTCTTCAGACTGGACACTCGCCCGCGGAATTTCTACCCCATAGGATTTCCACTCATTTTTCAACTACGTAAAATAATGTTGCCTTCGGAGTTGGGCTCGTCAAACGCCGCTCGAATTCAACAGAATGCGCACATGCATAGCTGAACAGTTTCGCCACCGAAGTTCTCACACACACACCCACACACATACACACACACACACCTGTGATAGTTATATTGACTAACGACGTTTGAATTTACTTTGTGGGCTTTGTACACCGGACTCAGTTTTGGTGCTAGGGTCTAATTTCCCTTTCGCTTAGCCCATGAGCTTGTTTCACTCACGAATCTTTCGTTGTCAAATGTTAAATCCCGTTGAACGCAGGGGATCTTACTGTATCAACCAACATTTGCGAGTTTTCGCTGCGTTTCTCTTCTTTTTTACTGCTGCCTGATTGTTTGGGTTTCTGATCTACAGTTTCCAAATGGCCTTCGTGTGCTGCTAGCTTGGAACTATCATGGGCGTCAAACTCAAAGCTGTACATGAAACCAGCGAATTCTTCCACCTGATTCATGCTACTACGGACAAGGAGCATGTTATTATGAAGGGGAAACCAATAACTAATCTATCCACACTCTGGTCATCAACAGCCCATCAAGTTGCCTCGCTCACCGTCTGATTTCTCTTAGTCTCTTTAAAAAAGTTCTCGGTCACTGGTGTAGTACAAAGCACAAGTCTAACATACTCGTTTTGGTCCATTTCGAACGGTACTTGAAAAGCTCAGGCGTCTGGTTGTGCTCCAGCGGTCACCGATTTGTACCTGTGTTGGTCTTGGTGACCTCTCTGTATCACTAGTTCGCACGCGACTAGTTTGGCCGCATGTCAGCAAAGCGTCGGTATAGTGATTATGCTTTTTATTTCAGACGTACTGGCTCGCCCATTAGCTGAGTTATGCCGTTACTCATCTGTAATTTTTGTTTGAAATCATTGAAAATATCCGTCGCTCGTGATGTGGATGTGGATTTTGCACTGTTCTCCGAGCAGAATGATTATTTTGCGACGTTTCGTTGCCAGACTAGGCGAAATCGTCAGTGCGGCTTTAAGGTCTTGTTTCTCAGAGCCTCGTAAGCGACTTCGAGATCTGTGTGCTTATTGATTGCTGTCTCTCTCCTTTTTTCAACTTTTTTGTTTTTTGCCTCTCCCTACCCCCATTACTAGCATTCTCTCCATAACTTTCAACTTGGTTGACGATAACGCGCTCAATAAGCACTTAGATCTCGAAGTTGCTTACCAAGCTCTGCGATAAAGGACCTTAAAGCCGCACTTACGATGTTGCCTAGTCTGGCTGCGAAACATCTGCAAAATATTCAGCTCGGAGAGCAGTGCAAAACTCACAATTTTCATTGTGTTAAAACTTCCAAGATTGCCTGGGATGAGCTAAAATAACTACTGTTTTCACAACTGCTTTACTGTCCGATGATGCCAAACAACCTCAGGACGCTCCTGCACTCTCGTGAACAATGGTCACCGCTATCGAATCATCTTTACTCGTACTCTCGTATAAACGAAATCCTCCACTGCAATCCCAATCATATGGGCTTAAAGAAATCAGGATTTGCTGTCGTAACATTTTCTGGCTCTTGAGCCCGCATTGTTAGCAGCACAAAACTGGCAAATACACCGCAACTTTGTTCATTGATTGATTACACACATACCAACTTTCGCGCATGTATGTTCCTTTTTGCTACATTGTGAAAACTCCAGCAGTAACGGCGACAGTGTCCCGGAACGGAGTCGCAAGCGAGCTAACAATTTGCAGGCCCATCATATACCCACTGTCCGATCACGGCATTCTATGGTTGAGCAAATATCCATCGATTGATTGCTGACATAATCGATATGCCCCACTCGGGGCCAAATCGAACTGAACCTGAAACCACTATGGCCCGTAAAGGTGACCACAGGATTAAGACAGCCAATTGAAGAGACGTGTGGACCAAAACAGCAATGACCGAGCCGCTCAGTGACGCAGGTCCTCTAGTAATCTGTCACAAACGCGCCTAAATGCGCAATCAGCCGGGCTTTGCTCCAGACGGAACACTTCCAGTTATCTGTCTCAAAAGCGATATTTGCCTTGTCAGATTTATTATGCTTCGATTTCATAATTGAATCATGCAGTTTTTCCTTGTTTTCATTCTCTACACTGCTGCTCTAGAGTTCTCAGCATAAGTTTGTTCGATAAACTATACAGGCGCCCTTGTTGCAATAATCTCTGCTTGATTTTACCTACCGATTGAGCGTTTCTCAATACCGATCAATTCGACTGGATGAAGTAATTGGCCAGGTATTCTCAATGAATTCACAGTTTCCTCCTTTATCTCGTACTCTCTAATCATCATCGTTCTCGTTAAATAGAGCGGATCAATAATGTTCTCCATCTTGCTTGTCGTCCACTCAATACCTTCCTCATTTCTTTTAACGAAATGTTACCTAGTACACACATTCGAACTTCGGAAAATTCCGTACCTCAGCAACACCTGGTTGGGTTACTTTTCTGTCTCGGACGCTCTCATCGCTTTCCTCACCCACATCTACACATTATATTACCTTTCCTGCTCTCCTTCGTACCGCTTTAGACGCAGTGTCCCCACGACTGGAGAGTCGCCCAGCGTATCGCAAGTGTCTTCACCCGCATCCGCCTCGTCCAAAGGCGTTGCCAGGCAACGCAAAAGAGATCGACCAGCCAACGTGCAGTGAGTCACCATGTTATACTTGACTGCTTGATTGTTGCAGTCTCTTTAATGAGCGTCTCATTACACATTCACGACACCCAAACCGCTGTTTGCTCGGTTTCTTTTTAACGGTATGGCTGTGCGACATTTGCTCCCTGTCTTGAGACGACACTTGCTCACTTCTTCAACCCATTGAGCTACACCTGGTGAGGCTGTCGGGTTCTTTTAAAATATTTACTACCAAATTACAGGTCAAACGAACTTAGTCTTCTGTCCCTCCTGCGACGTGTTGCGAATGGGATAGTTATCATTTCTATGAAACCGTCTCCCCGCTATCTTGAGATCTTACTTTCGAGCCAGTTTGTTTGGGAACACTGTTCGCTCTCCAGCATAGGTCTGAGTGCCCTAATGTTATTTCAACCCATACATAACCGCGATTGAATGAATTTATCATCAACTTCGAGCCACATATTGTATCGACTGTCGCGCAGTTTTAAAAGGGTTGCCTTATCTGCCGCACACCCCAGGACAGATATAGGAAAACATACTACTGTTTATGTCTCTCTTTTTCCTTTTCCAACTGTTTTCCTTTTTGCCCCTCCCCATCCCCATTACTAGCATTCTCTCCATGATTTCCAATTTAGTTGACAATAACCACAGTACCACTGGAGTACTGCTATCAACTCTCTCTCTCTCTGTCGCTGCAGCACTCATTAGACTCATGCCATGAATAACCTCTTACCGGGCCACGCTGTACTGTTTCTCTGATGGTGTTCAATGTTCGCACCTTAAAACAGACTGCATTTGTACGCACGTTAAACACATTGAGTGTCGACGTGTACTGTGTGTCCGAAACCTGGGATCAGTGATGCTCGTCACGTTGCTCTCTACTTTTGCTCTCGCTATTAGTTTCGCTCATCCGAAGAGGCTGATGTAGCATGCTGGAGGGAGCATCGTTTTTTGCTTGACGGATGATTGGTTGATCGGATTGGTCTAAGAAACCGCCTGTGTGTTTGGCAACATCAACGAAGGTTAGCGAACGGGGTAGTGCTGAACGCTGTCTGCTTGTTATTGCCGCTTATGCCTGCAGAACTATGGTTAGTCCTGGTGCTCTCAGGGGCGTCTTCTATCATGACAGTTTACTACGCAGCGCAACCGTTTCATATACTATTTTAATTGCAGGGGATATGTCAATAGTAACTGAGATCCTCCGAAATTCAGCTAGGTAGTAGCTTTCGGCTCAACTGGTAGCGCGCAGACTAACTAATGCTTACTGCAGCTGCTCCTCCGAGTGTCGGTTGCTGCTTAGCAGCACCGAGGTTTCGTCTAGCTTCCTTTTGCAGTTGGCTAGCCATGGGCTCGAATAGATCACGTCCGCATAACTTTCGGGCGGCATGATTCTCTCCTTTACTGTCACCCAATTTAGACCACATGTACCCGCTCTGATCATGCCTTGGCACTCTACCGATTTTCTATTAATTTTAACAGGAGCGCATCAAACGCTTAACTGTTTGCCCAGCTCTCGGTCTGACAGGCCAACCAGAATACCTTGCGTACCATATTTGCACACAGTCACTGTTTCATCGAGTGTACTATAGGTAAAAGGAGGCTCAATACAGCAGAACCTAACACTACACATGCTATTGTCAACAAGCAGCGCAGGTTCATCGTTCATGCATGCTCAGACGTGCAGTCAGAAGTGAACGCAGTTCTACACATCTCTTTAGACAAGTAGACCAGTTTTTAAACTAATCTGACTCTGTTCAAGTCATTAGCATTGCCTTCGAGAAGTAGCATCTGACTGGTCTTGCTATCTGTGCACACTGCCTTAACTGCATGCGCGGCAGTGGCTGTCCGATCAAACTTTCGCGCGCAGTAAACAGCCACGTTCAGCCGACCTGGGTTGGCGATCAAGCCATTCTAAATCGATATGTTCAGGGGCCTTGCGTCTGCGTGACTGCCAGCACCGAGGACGGTGTAGGAACACTTCAGTCTACTTGGACTTTTGGTCCTAACATATGACTCCGTCTGCAGTTGATTTGAAGATATGGCATAGTGTTTTTGTTTGGTTGCTACGTACTTCGAAACTTCCAGAAGTGAACAGCATGTGCCAACGTGAAGTTTGGTAAATAAGGGACTTCCAAACATCAGCTGCGTATGCGTTTTTCATTGGTTTTGTGATCACATATTCAGTAAACGAAGAGTGCCATTAGGACTGCTTCTTATTACTCAACTTCCCAAGACTAGATAGCTTGTATTGCCGATTTTGCCGCTCCGCCATTCCATTAGCTCTAGGGTTGTCACGTGCAATTGGGGTATGTTACATATTATAGTTTTAGTGGATTGTCTCAAATTCGTAGCTACGAAATTATGGACCATTATCTAAGGGTATTCCCTCAGGTAATCCGTAGCAGTTACAAAGTCGCCCGAGCCGGCGCAGCGCCACAAAAGAAATTATCTTACCACTCACATGAACTTCAAGTCTTATACTGTAAAAGCATGTTTCTTATTCACAGAAGCAATTGAGATAAGGGTCCATAACATCAGTGTCAATGGGATTTCGGTTGTACGAGGGCCCCAAACCGTAGGGAACCTTCGTACGCCAATCGATAAACGATACAGTTTCTCACTAGTGATTCTAGACTGGATAACACTCGTGGTCACCAAAGTACTGTCAGACGCGCGGCTGTCCATCCTGAACATACTTCAGCTATTTTGTTAACCATCAATAGTGGGGCCACAAATACTGCATTCGGCAACTATCAGCAACCGAAATTTCCTATGGAACTGCGTAATGCGGTACGAACTTACCGGGAACTGTAGTTCATTGGCCATCCCACGGGACATAAGTCGTGAGTTGCTGTAGCGTCATGTCTTTGTCATCTTCAGTTCGTAACACTTCGGTTCCGAGACTAGAGACTATTGTCGCCTCTCCGAGTCTCTTTTTCACCTTTCAGTCCCAAATGCAAGCGGAGTGATCCGTCAGTGACCTGCTTTTCTCGTCCTGGCCAGTACACAACTTGGTATTCATGGCTAAAAGGTCTGGCATGCCAGTGATTGATACGCATCAGATCTGTTATTGTGAGTGGTAATGTTGTCGGAGTGGTCGATGAGAAAAAGACGCAGTTTCTCACAAGCTTTATCCTCCTTTCACCGGTAAAGTAGTGTCGCTCCAAGTTGAATGAATTCCGTGAAGTATACGCAATGACTTTCCCTTACTCATTTCCTAGTTGTGAAAGAACGGCACTGAGACAGACGTCAGAGGCGTCAGTCTACCCAAAGTACTGCACGTTTCACTAAAGATGGCAATCAATAGGACCGAAGAGATCCTACTTTTCAGTTCGCTGAGGGCATTTTGTAGATCGCAGTGGATTTGCTACCATGACAAAATCACGGGCATATTACATTGTTTAGGGACTCTTGCCCCATAATGGCTTCGACCCCATTGTATTACTAGTTGTGTGCACATCAGTTACGGTGCCGACACTTTCATTTCATGGACGCATGCAATTTCGTGAAATGGTGTCCCATGGACGTTGAATGCAAAGGTTTTCTTGTTCATGCTAACGTTAAGTTCACTGACTCGATGGATAACCATATGTAAGCACTCATCATGTTCTTTCGACTTGTTGCTGAAAACACATATCATCCAATCTTGCATCTATCAAAGTCTGCTGGGACATAAGTCACAAACTTCTAGGCCGATGATGTCGAGCTCATCCCAATTTGTTCTATGATCAGAGATGGAAGTGGCCGCTGCCCTTGGCAACTATCGTGTTATTCCGTCTGATACGGGAAACAGGCAGCAGGAGACCTGGTGTTAGTGAAATAATTTGTGATGAGAGGGGACAGCCTATCCACAATTTGTCAAAACGTTTGGAGCGTTGGGCTGAGGATTTTGAAAAGCAATTTAATCGGTTAGAATTGTTCGATTCTTCGCCGACCAGTGATCGCCCTGCTCCGTGGGCTGTCCCTTTGGATTCACCGTCCTGCTCAGAAGTCGAACGTGAGATCAGACTGTTGAAGTTGAACAAAGCCGCCGGACCAGATGATCTTCCTCCAGCCCTCTTCAAATTCGGAGGCTCTGCTCTTGTTGATGCTTTACATGAATTACTAGTGAAACTGTGGGAGCAGGAGACTGTCCCAACCGACTGGAGCCGCTCCGTTATTGTTCCCATCTTCAAAGGCGGCTCGCGCTCGTAATGCGGCAATCATAGAGGAATCAGTCTGATCTCCATCGCCTCCAAATTACTCGCCTCCATAATTCTTCACATACTGACTGGCGCTCGTGAAAGTCAGATTCGTGAGCAGCAAGCCGGGTTTCGTCGTGGTCGTGGCTGCATTGACCACATATTCACCTTGCGTCAGTTGTTGGAGCACTATCACACATATTGGCAGCCCACCGTTGTGTTCCTCGACATCAAAGGTCCATTCGATTCGGTTGATCGATGTGCCCTTTGGGATTGTCTACTCAGGAAAGGTGTGCCCGAGAAGTATGTAAATATTGTCCAAGCATTATGCGCGCGTAGCACGGGCAGAGTGAGGGCATACGGCAAGCTGTCGCCGCCGTTCAATATCTCCGGCGGTGTGAGACAAGGATGCCCGCTGTCACCTTTCCTCTTCAACTTCGCTATTGACGAAGCCATGGCGTTTGCATTTACAGGACATGACTTGGAAGGTGTGGAGCTACTTCCAGGAGAACGACTTCTTGACTTGGAGTATGCAGACGACATTACCCTCATCTGAGACAGCTCCCAGACGTGCCAAGCGGCGCTGGACAGATTAGCACTAGCTGTCAGCCGCTTCCGGCTTCGGTTTGCACCATCGAAGTGCAAAGCGTTCCTCCAAGATTGACAGAGATCGCCTCCTACGCTGACCCTTGATGGGGATCAGCTAGAAATCGTTCAGAAATTCAACTACCTGGGAAGTTGTATCAGCGCCCGTGGGATTGAAGATGAAATCACGAACCGTATAGCAAAAGCTCGAGGCACTTTTGCTAACCTTTCCCACTTATGTCGCCG